CTGGTGTATAGAAATGCAACTGATTTCTGTGCATCGATTTTATATCCTGACACTTTACTGAATTCCTGTACAAGTTCTACCAGATTTGGAGTGGAGTCTTTTGGGTTTTCCACATAAAGCATCATATCATTTGCAAAGAGTGATAGTTTGACTTCTTCTTTGCTGATTTGGATGCCTTTAATTTCTTCTTGTTGTCTGATTGCTGAGGCTAGGACTTCTAGTACTATGTTGAATAGCAGTGGTGATAGTGGACAGCCCTGCCATCTTCCTGATCTTAGCGGAAAAGCTCTCAGTTTTTCCTCCATTGAGAATGATATTCGCTGTGGGTTTTTCATAGATAAGCCAGTATTGTTTTTTTTTTAATTTTTTAAATTTATTTTCAGCGTAACAGTATTCATTGTTTTTGCACCACACCCAGTGCTCCATGCAATCCGTGCCCTCTCCAATACCCACCACCTGGTTCCCCCAACCCCCCACCCCCCACCCCTTCAAAACCATCAGATTGTTTTTCAGAGTTCATAGTCTCTCATGGTTCACCTCCCCTTCCAATTTCCCTCAACTCCCTTCTCCTCTCCATCTCCCCTTGTCCTCCATGCTATTTGTTATGCTCCACAAATAAGTGGAACCATATGATAATTGACTCTCTCTGCTTGACTTATTTCACTCAGCATAATCTCTTCCAGTCCCGTCCATGTTGCTACAAAAGTTGGGTATTCATCCTTTCTGATGGAGGCATAATACTCCATAGTGTATATGGACCACATTTTCCTTATCCATGCGTCCGTTGAAGTGCATCTTGCTTCTTTCCACAGTTTGGCAACCGTGGCCATTGCTGCTATAAACATTGGGGTACAGATGGCCCTTCTTTTCACTACATCTGTATCTTTGGGTTAAATACCCAGTAGTGCAATTGCAGGGTCATAGGGAAGCTCTATTTTTAATTTCTTGAGGAATCTCCACACTGTTCTCCAAAGTAGCTGCACCAACTTGCATTCGCACCAACAGTGTAAGAGGGTTCTCCTTTCTCCACATCCCGTCCAACACATGTTGTTTCCTGTCTTGCTAATTTTGGCCATTCTAACTGGTGTAAGGTGGTATCTCAATGTGGCTTTAATTTGAATCTCCCTGATGGCTAGTGATGATGAACATTTTTTCATGTGTCTGATAGCCATTTGTATGTCTTCATTGGAGAAGTGTCTGTTCATATCTTCTGCCCATTTTTTTTATATGATTGTCTGTTTTGTGTGTCTTGAGTTTGAGGAGTTCTTTATAGATCCTGGATATCAACCTTTTGTCTGTACTGTCATTTGCAAATATCTTCTCCCATTCCGTGGGTTGCCTCTTTGTTTTGTTGACTGTGCAGAAGCTTTTGATTTTGATGAAGTCCCAAAAGTTCATCTTCGCTTTTGTTTCCTTTGCCTTTGGAGACATATCTTGAAAGAAGTTGCTGTGGCTGATATTGAAGAGGTTACTGCCTATATTCTCCTCTAGTATTCTGATGGATTCCTGTCTCACGTTGAGGTCTTTTATCCATTTTGAGTTTATTTTTGTGTACGGTGTAAGAGAATGGTCGAGTTTCATTCTTCTACATATAGCTGTCCAGTTTTCCCAGCACCATTTATTGAAGAGACTGTCTTTTTTCCACAGTATATTTTTTTCTGTTTTGTCGAAGATTATTTGACCATAGAGTTGAGGCTGGTTTTTTGAAAGAATCAGTAAGATTGATAAACCATTGGCCACACTAATCCAAAAGAAAAGAGAGAAAGCCCAAATTTATAAAATTATGAATGAAAAGGGAGAGATCACAGCTAACACCAAGGAAGTAGAAACAATCATCAGAAGTTATTATCAACAGTTATATACCAATAAGCTAAGCAACCTAGATGAAATGGATGCATTCCTGGAAAACTATAAACTTCCAAAATTGAACCAGGAAGAAATTGACAACCTGAATAGACGGATATCTAGTAACGAGATTGAAGCAGTGATCAAAAACCTCCCAAAAAACAAGAGCCCAGGACCTGATGGATTCCCTGGGGAATTCTACCAAACTTTCAAAGAACAAATAACACCTATTCTCCTGAAGCTGTTTCAAAAAATTGAAGCAGAAGGAAAATTTCCAGACTCTTTCTATGAAGCCAGCATTACCTTGATCCCCAAACCAGGCAAAGACCCTACCAAAAAGGAGAATTTCAGACCAATACCACTGATGAATATGGATGCTAAGATTCTCAGCAAGATCCTAGCAAACAGGATCCAACAACACATTAAAAAGATTATCCACCATGACCAGGTGGGATTCATTTCTGGGCTACAAGGATGGTTCAACATTCGCAAATCAATCAATGTGATAGAACAAATTAATAAGAGAAGAGAGAAGAACCACATGGTCCTCTCAATTGATGCAGAAAAAGCATTTGACAAAATCCAGCATCTGTTCCTGATTAAAACGCTTCAAAGTGTAGGGATAGAGGGAACATTCCTGAACTTCATAAAATCTATCTATGAAAGACTCACAGCAAATATTATCCTCAATGGGAAAAAGCTTGCAGCCTTCCTGTTGAGATCAGGAACACGACAAGGATGCCCACTCTCACCACTCTTGTTTAACATAGTATTAGAAGTCCTAGCAACAGCAATCAGACAACAAAGAGAAATAAAAGGTATCCAAATTGGCAATGAAGAAGTCAAAGTCTCTCTCTTCGCAGATGACATGATTCTTTATATGGAAAACCCAAAAGACTCCACCCCCAATCTACTAGAACTCATACAACAATTCAGCAACATGGCAGGATACAAAGTCAATGTACAGAAATCAGTGGCTTTCTTATACACTAACAATGAAAATACAGAAAGGGAAATTAGAGAATCGATTCCATTTACTATAGCACCAAGAACCATACTATACCTGGGAATAAACCTAACCAAAGAGGTAAAGGATCTGTACTTGAGGAACTACAGAACACTCATGAAAGAAACTGAACAAGACACAAAAAGATGGAAGACCTTTCCATGCTCTTGGATCGGAAAAATAAACATTGTTAAAATGTCTATACTGCCTAGAGCAATCTATACTTTTAATGCCATCCCGATCAAAATTCCACCGGTATTTTTCAAAGAGCTGGAGCAAATAATCCTAAAATTTGTATGGAATCAGAAGAGACCCCGAATCGCTAAGGAAATATTGAAAAACAAAAATAAAACTGGGGGGGCGCCTGAGAGGCTCAGTGGGTTAGAGCCTCTGCCTTCGGCTCAGGTCATGATCCCAGGGTCCTGGGATCGAGCCCCGTATTGGGCTCTCTGCTTAGCGGGGAACCTGCTTCCTCCTCTCCCTCCTCCCTGCCTCTCTGACTACTTGTAATCTCTGTCTATCAAATTAAAAAATAAATAAATAAATGAAATAAATAAATAAATAAATAAAACTGGGGGCATCACGTTACCTGATTTCAAGCTTTACTACAAATCTGTGATCAAGACAGCATGGTACTGGCATAAAAACAGACACACAGACCAGTGGAACAGAGTAGAGAGCCCAGATATGGACCCTCAACTCTATGGTCAGTTAATCTTCGACAAAACAGGAAAAAAATACAGTGGAAAAAAGACAGTCTCTTCAATAAATGGTGCTGGGAAAATGGACAGCTATATGTAGAAGAATGAAACTCGACCATTCTCTTACACTGTACACAAAAATAAGCCAGTTTGTTTTAAGAAAGTATTCATTATAGTCAAATTTTAGTCTAACAAAGCAACTTATTTTTCTCTGGAATTTTGTCTGTGTGGTTGATTTAGGGCCCTGAATTTAACTCCTAGAACTGGTGGATTGACAGAAAGTGAGCTACATCCATGGTGCAGAATACTTTTTTATAATAAGAAAGTTTAGCTATTTTACTGTTACAACAGTAAAAGGTCTTTAGTCATGTTGTTACTGTATTAGAATCAGTGCTTCCGTTTCCATAGTTGACTCTTAGGTTTCAATCCAAACTTAGTTTGTCTTTCCTACTAAAAATGTCTAGAGATGAGTATCAATCATTTGTTTTGAAGCACTTAACAAACAAGTGAAATATAATTTTAAAATTTTAAAATGTAATGTGGTGGGCACCTGGCAGGCTCAGTCAGTTAAGCATCTGCCTTCAGCTCAGGTCATGATCAGAGGGTCCTGGGGTCAAGTCCCACATCAGGTTCCCTGCTCAGCAGGGAGCCTGCTTATCCCTCTGCCTGCCACTCCTCCTGCTTGTGCTCCCCCCCCCTCTTTCTCTGACAAATAAATAAATAATATTTTAAAAAAGTATAATGTTGTGGCTGTTGGGTAGGTAAAGTACTGAACTCATACTTTAAAATGCTGTCTATATACTCCCACTTCTGAGAAATAGGCCCAGGCTGTGTTATTCTAAATGGACTACATTTCCAATTCTTTTGCAATTAGTAGCAACTTTTCTAGAGCCCACTTCAGCAGTAGATGAAAATCCTGAAAACATCTTAGGAGGAGTCTTTCTACATTTTGCTAACCAAAATACATATTGAACTGGCTCTGAAATACATGAGCTATTTAGGCTTGCATCTACGGTGAGCTGGGGTCAAGGGTTGGGTGAAAAGAGCACTGGATATGGATACTTACTCTGCTAAGGCTTGCCCTCCCTTTGCTGTTGTACTCCATTTATACCCTTTGAAGAGCAGAGTGGAATTAACTATCAGGAGTGTTTTAGTATAACTCTTTGGTTCTTGACTACCAATCAGTGGAGTAGTTCCTTGCTTAGCTGCAGAAGAATCACCTAGAAAGTTTTGTAAAAGCTCAAATAGCTTTTCTGTTCCCTCTCTCCTTTTTCCCACTTGGTCTGGGATAGTGCCTGGGAATTAAAGGTCTTCACTAGTCTAGTATGGGAATTACTGCCCAAGAGCCTTCTGAACAGGTGTCCAAGTCAAAAATGTTACAGACTGATGGAATTTCAGTATAGAACCTACCACCACAAATCCCATGATTTTTCCTTCCAAATTTACAGGTGGGACTGCGTACGTAACAAAATGTGGACTGCAGCCTTTGGGGTGATTTCTGCTGCCTTGGCAGTGGTGAGCGGCTTTGGCCTGATGTTGTACATGGGGGTGCCATTTGTGATCATAGTTGCAAATTCACCATTTCTTATTCTGGGTGAGTAAAACAAAACATGAGGCTATATGTTGTATATGTGGGGGTGTGGGGTAGATAAAGGAGGGAGTTTAGGTTAGATTAAGCAAAATAATTATATTTGGGTGGTTCTATAGATCCAAAATGAGGTGCCAGGAAAAAAGAAAATAAAATTGAATTGTGTGTCTTTAGAGGGAGAAAATCTAGCACCCCAAATGAAAAACCACAGATAAGGGACATGAACAGATGGGTCACACCCAAATCCAAAATATGAATTACTAGAAATAATAAGAAAAAAAATTGACCTCTCAATTAACCAAGGGATACAAATTAAAACAAAAATGAGACACCTTGTTTTCATATCGGATTAATGAATATCAGCAAGATTGAAGGAAGGTTGTTTGGAAATGAACACTCATCCTGCTAGGGGAAAACTGTAACCTGGTACACCCATTTTTTAGTCCAGTTTTGCAAATCAAAAGACTTAAAAATTAAACAGGGAATGTGTTTGACTTACTGATTCCACTTCCTAGGAATTTGTCCTAATAATTGGACAAGTGCTCAAAAAGTAAAAGCATGTTCACTTTGGCATTATTTAGAACAGGAAGGTTTTGAAAACCATTTGATTCCCTATCACATGGGCTTGGGCAACTCAAATGTAGCATATTAAAATTGTGAATCATATTCAGTCCTTAGAAAGAGGTAGATTTATAAGATATGTAAGGTAGACATAAGATATATAACCACTACCAGAAAAATGCTTGTTATGAAACAGGGTGTTCAAAATAGAAAGATATAGTTGTATTGGTGTATTTGTATAGAGCAAATTCTGGATGGATATATGTAAAAATGAAGGGTGTAATTACAGCTGTTTAAATTTTTTCTCCATATTTTCCTGTACTTTCAGAATTTATTTTATAATAAGCATGAGAAAACAAAGGTGTTTCTATTTGAGAAAATAAGGAGCTTGGAAGAGGTAGTATTTGGTTTCCTAGGGGAGACAGTGGATGAGCTGTATGCTGGATGTCAGGGCATCTCTTCCTGGTACACAGCCATACTTAGTCACTCACCACCCCCCCACAGCCATTAATAACAAAGTTAAGTTATATGTAATTGATTTCATGTAAACCAGGATTGTATAGTTTGCGTATTCACAGGAGTGTGAATGGCTCTGTGTGTGTGTGATTTAAGCAACTTAAGAAGTGTGTGAGGACAATTTCTGAATAAGGGTTCTATAAATAATAAAACTAGTTTTTAGGGCGCCTGGGTGGCTCAGTGGGTTAAGCCTCTGCCTTCCAACTCGGGTCGTGATCTCAGGGTTCTGGGATCGAGTCCCGCATCTGTCTCTCTGCTCGGCAGAGTCTGCTTCCTCCTCTCTCTCTGCCTACTTGTGATCTCTCTCTGTCAAATAAATAAATAAAATCTTTTAAAAAATAAAAATAAAAATAAATAAAACTAGTTTTTAAATACCTTGTAAATATCAATGAGTTCATTCTTGGTCCTTAGTACTTCTGATTCTTCCCTTTTGTCCAGCTGAGTACAACTGAAATCCTCAAGGCCGCTAGCCATGGGATGTCAGGATGCATTTGTGACATTCTGTGTAGCCTTATGTTAATTTAGATCCTTCTGCCTGCTTGATCATACCCAGAGAACATCTGATTAGAGGCAAAGTTGCAATTCCTAGTACCCTCCCGTAGAGAAGATACCCCCAAATTGAAGTGGAGATCAGCATTTTATTCCACCTTGTATATTTCCTTGTTTATTTTATTGAGTTTGTATCAATATACATGGGTGAAAGTAGTGTCAACTCTAGCAGAAAGCTTGAGGCAGGTGAAACTTATCTGCAAATGCTCTTGCTATCCTCAATATACCCTTTCTTCTTTCTAGTCCTCCTTTCCAAGTTTTCAGTGGTGATTTCAAAGTCCTCAAATGTTCTGTCCTCTCTATTCCATCATGAAACATCCTTATGGAAAAGGATTACCTAGTAGATATTAATATACAAGGGATTCTTTTTTTTTAAAGATTTTATTTATTTATTTGACAGAGAGAGATCACAAGTAGGCAGAGAGGCAGGCAGAGAGAGAGAGGAGGAAGCAGGCTCCCTGCGGAGCAGACAGCCCAATTCGGGGCTCGATTCCAGGACCCTGGGATCATGACCTGAGCCGAAGGCAGAGGATTTAACCCACTGAGCCACCCAGGCGCCCCTATGCAAGGGATTCTTGAGATTTACTTTGGTGCACGTGTCTGATCTCAAGAGTACTTGCATTTTAATAATAATGCCTTAACCTGGGAAAGTTTAAGTTTAAGTGATAACATTCTGGGTATCAAAAACAAGCTTGGAGGAAAACTATGTGTGTGTGTGTGTGTGTGTGTGTGTGTGTGTACTATGCGGTGCCTCTCAAATCCTACCACATTGATACTTAGGTGCTAACTGTAGAACAGATAAGTCCAGCTTATATTTTAAGCAACAGAATGTTGGCTCAATGTGTCTGTACATTTGTGTAAAATGGTTTATGAGGGAAAATGGTCTCTCAAATAATCCAGTGGAATCAAAGATAGCATTGCTAATCCTGCTTCAGCTAACATCCACAACAGGTTTCCTGACTCATTGTTAAAACGCCCTGCACGAAGACTAGGAGCAGAGTATCTGGTCTATCCCATGCTATGTACAAATAACAGGAGGACGTACAAAGCCCAGAGTTGTTACAGAGGAAGGGCTGAATTCTGCTGTGGCTTCAGAGGCAACCAAAGGAGGCAACAGAGAAAAGAGTATCAAAGCACAGATTGGACGAGATAAATCAGACCTTAAGAGATGGACAAAGAAGATGGTTTGAGTTTATGCATTTAATTTTTAATGGATATTAATATGTATGAAGATGGCTTCTTTTTTTTTTTTTTAACAGGTGTCGGGATTGATGATATGTTCATAATGATTTCTGCCTGGCAGAAGACCAGCCTCATGGATAACATAAAACAGCGTCTGTCCAGTGTCTATTCCAAAGTGGCAGTCTCGATTACAATTACCACCATCACCAACGTCCTGGCCTTCTATACAGGGATTATGACCTCTTTCAGGTCCGTACAGTACTTTTGCATCTATACAGGAACAACTCTGCTCTTTTGTTATTTCTATAACATCACCTGTTTTGGGGCATTTATGGCCCTGGATGGTAAAAGAGAAAGAGTCTGTCTACGCTGGCTGAAAAAGCCAGAAAGTCCTGACCAAAAATGTTCTTCATTAAAAAGATCCTGCTGTCTCCCATGTGATTCTCTCCCGGACGAAGAAGGAACTGATGTCCATCCAATGAATGTGTTCTTTCGAGACTATTTTGGCCCTTTTCTCACAAGAACTGAGTCCAAATTTTTTGTAGTGCTTGTATACATTTTGTACATCATAAGTAGCATCTATGGGTGTTTCCATGTGCAGGAAGGTTTAGACCTTCGAAATTTGGCAAGTGACGATTCCTACATCACACCATATTTTAATGTAGAAGAAGAATATTTTTCAGATTATGGTCCCAGAGTTATGGTTATTGTTACAGAAACTCTTAACTACTGGGATGAAGGTGTTAGGCCAAAACTGGAAATATGTCTGTCAGATTTGGAAAACAGTGACTATGTAGATAAAAGTCTTACAGAGTTTTGGTTACGAGAGTATGTGCAATATACAGAAAAGAGCCAGCAAGATGTAAATGATAAGGATACTTTTATGAATAATTTGCCCAATTTTTTAACACATTTTCCACTTTTTACATATGACATTAACATTTCATCATCACATGAAATCATTTCTTCCCGGGGCTTCATTCAGACTGTGGGTGTTTCTTCTTCAACCAATAAGAAGACGATGTTATCCCAGTTACGAAGCAAAGCTGAAAAGTGCGAGATTCCCCTAATGGTGTATAACCATGCATTCATATATTTTGATCAGTATACTGCAATATTAGAAAATACTGTTCGAAATGTCATTGTTGCATCAACCGCTATGTTCATTGTTTCCTTATTGTTAATTCCTCACCCACTGTGTTCCTTGTGGGTAACTTTTGCTATTGCTTCTGTGATTGTGGGAGTAACAGGTTTCATGGCATTCTGGAATGTCAATCTTGATTCCATATCCATGATTAATCTTGTCATTTGTATAGGGTTTTCTTTCGATTTTTCTGCACACATTTCTTATGCATTTGTTTCCAGTTCTAAGCCCTCAGTAAACCAAAAAACAATTGAGGCATTGTATCTGCTAGGCTATCCAGTGTTACAAAGTGCACTTTCAACAGTAATAGGGGTGTGTGTTTTATCTGCAGCTAAAGCATACATCTTCAGGACATTTTTTAAGATTATGTTTCTTGTTATGGTATTGGGGGCTGCTCATGGCCTAATTTTTATTCCAGTATTCTTAACCTTTTTTTGAAGGTTTGTTTGAATATCTGCTAACAAATCAAAGACCAATTTTAGAATTCCTGATTGCCAGAATCCAATCTGATAAAAATGCACTATCAGAAATAGTCAATAAACTTAAAACAAAGGCATGTTTCCTTGGCTTGGAAATCCCATTTAAAAATGTTATTTAAAATATCCTGAGAAAAATTAATTAGTCTTACATTAAAATATCTTTACTAAATTAGGAAGTGTTGTCATCTTTATTATAGTCTATACAATCAAGCATAAGGTATGACTTTCCAATTATTTTTTCCTTTTGTTTCATTGTTAGAAGTTTATGCCTGGAATTCAAATATTTTATACATTACAATATAAATGGAATATTATTTTCATTGTACTTCCTCTATCATTATTATGTAAAAGTACAACTTATTATTTATTCTCCCAGTCTGGGGCTTTGTATGCATTTTCTTAATGGTATATTTTGATAAACTGAAATTTTTAAAGTTTTGAAATCCAATTTATCATTTTTTTAATGACCAATGTTTTCTGTGTCCTAAGAAGTCTTTGTCTATTCCAAGATGACAAAAAAATCCACCTATGATATCTTCTCAAAGCTCATAGTTTTAATTTTACATTGAAGTCTGTGATCCATAAATCTTTTGTTGAGAAGTGTGGATAGAAGTTCATTATCTTCCCATAATAGTTATCATCCAGTTTTCCAGCATCATTAGTAAAAAGACTGTATTTTCAGCATAGAATTAATTTGGCACCTCTGTCAAAGAATCAGCTGACAATTTATGTGTGGCTCTATTTCTGTGCATTGATCTGTTTGCCTATCCTAAAGCCAATACCACAGTGCTTTGATTATTGAACCTTTATATTAAATCGTGAAATTAGGTTGTATAATGTGTCCAACATTTTTTTCTTTTCCAAATTATTTTGGCTTTTCTTGGTTCTTAGCATTTAGATTCTAATTTTAGAATCACTTGTCAATTTATCAGAAAGCTTTCTGGGTTCGTGACTCAGTTATAGTGAATCTACACTTTAATTTGGGGAAAATAGGTATCTTAGCCATTTGGAATCTTCTAATCTATGAACATGGTTTATCTCTCCATTTATTAGTGTCTTCTTTAATTTTCCTCAGGACTACCTTATAGATTTAGGTAGATTTACTTCCAAGTATTTTCATCTTTATGGCTTGTAAATAAATCTAAATTCCTTTTCCATTTTGTTTTTACTACTATATAAAAATACAATCGATTTAGATATACCTAAGTTATATTGTGTAAACTTGTTAGGTTCATTTATTAGTTCTTGTCGATCCTTGTAGTTTCTTTAGCAGTTTTTATCTGTGCAATTATGTAAAGGACACATAAAGGCCATTTTATTTCTTCCCATATAATCTTTCTCTCTTACTTGACTTATTGCACTGGTTTAAAACATCCAGTAAAATGTGGGAAAACACACTAAAGGCAGATCTCATTGCCATGTTCCCAACTCTGAAATGTTCAATATTTCATCACTAAATATGATGGCTACTTGGAGGTATGTCATAGCTGTTTCTATCAGATTGGGGAAGTCCCCTTTTCCTTCTAGTGTGCTGAGATGTTTTACCATGGATGCATATTGAATTCTGTCAAATAATTTTTGTCCATCTATTTAGATTATCATTTTTTCTATTTTAATCTATGAACGTGACAATTTATGTTGAATGACCTTTTAGTGTATTCATCAACCTTGCATTCCTAAGATGACTCACATTAGGTCACGGCATATTAGTGTTACCATATATTACTGTCTTTGTCATTTTTTCAATGATATTTGTTCCTGTGATCATGAGGGATATTGGTCTGCATTTCCCTTTTCTCCTAATGTCTTCTTCAGGTTTTGATAGCAGGGTTATGCTTCCCTTAGGAAATGAGCTGGTAAATATTCCTCTTCTATTTTCTGAAATGTATGATGTATGGTTGATACAATTTCTTACTTAAATGTTTAGTAGAATTCACCAGTGAAGTCAACTGGGCATAGAGCTTTTCTGGAAAGTTTTTTTAATTTAAAATTCACTTTCTTTAACAAATATAAGGACATTCAGATGTTTTCTTCTTGGATCGTTTGGTATGTTTTAATTATCCCTTTTAGCTAAATTGACAATGGATAATTTTCTTATTATCATTTTAATGTCTCTTGCAATGTCCCCTGTGCAATTCTTGATATTGGTAATTTGTATTATATCCCTTTTATTTCTTGATCAAGGAATTATCAATTTTATTAAATTTTTCTAAGAACCAACTGTTGACTTTATTGATTTCTTTTATTTCTCTATTTGCTGCTTCACTGCCTTCTACTCTTTGCTCCTTCTTGTTTTCTACTTTGAGTTTAATTTTCTGTTCATTTTCCAGCTCTTTAAGGTAGTAGCTTGATTTTAAACCTTTATTCTTCTAAGAAAGCATTTAATGCTATAAATATCCTTCTTACTACTGTTTTAACTGTATCCACAAATTTTTATACAATGGGTGTTCCTTAACATTCCTTTCAAAATAAGTTCCCATTTCTCTTGTGATTTCTTCTTTGATCATGGACCAAATGATCATGCCTTTGCTTTCTCTTCATTTTTTTTTTTAAAGAATACTCTAACTGGATTTAGAACTCTGGGTTGAGAGGGTTTTTTCAGGACTTAAAAAATGTCATTGCATTGTCTACTTGACTAGAATCCAGTTTCCATTGTTATACCATTCTTCTCTATGGAATATGTCTTTTTTTTTTTTCACTATCTGCTTTTAATATTTTCCTTTGTTACTTGTTTTTAGCAATTTGACTAAGATGTGGTGGTGTGGTGTTTTTTTCTATTCAACTTTCTTTGGATATTTTGAGCTTTTAGGACCTGTAACTTGATATTTTCTATCATATTTGGAAATATTTTAGCCTTTATTTCTTGAAATATTTTTCTGCAACATTGTCTCTATCCTCTCTTTCTGGGACTCTAATTACAAATATGTTCTTGTTATTTTTAGTTGGTGCATAATATTGTAATATCTTTTAAGTTTGCTTTTTGTCATTAATAAATTTGAATTTGTTGACACCTTCAATAGACTCTTCTCTTCAACCCATATTTTATTGAAAAAACTGTCTTTCTACATATGGTGAGATTCCTCAGGAACATTCTCAGGAATATTCTTCAGGAATAGTCTATTCTGTAAAGGTTATTAATAATGCTTTTGTGTATGGAAATATTTAAATAATTCAGTCAATATATGTTCATCTACTGTCTCTTTTTATTTTATTAAGATTATCATTCTTAGAAAATATTTTATAACACAAAATTCATCAAATAAATTCTCACTATCTCTGATTATCTTCAATATTTGGCCAACAATTGGAGATGTTGCAAAATAATAGGTCTTTCATTACAGAATGTAAATTTATCCCCCAAATGGAAGCTCATCAAAAAATTCTTCTCCCAAGTTAAGAAATTACAAAACACAATTATAAAATTGCAAAATTAAATCAGTTACATTGTTTGAGCTCTCCTTGTTTGATCTGTTCATTTCCTTCCTGGCTTTTGTAGTGACAAATTCAGTGGCTTCCTATTCACACACTTTGTTTTCAATAATTCCAATTTGCTAAACGCTTCAAAGCTTTACGTTTCTTTGGTCTTCCCTTCATTGAACACTTCATTAAAGATCACAACTGATTTTGAACAAATTGCAACAAGAACAAATAGAGGACTCATTCACAAACTAGTCCAATACCATTGTAGCGCACTAGATTGATTTTCAAAGTAGTTTTTCAAAGAGTCAAGCATTTGTAAAATCTGGCTGATGTTGGACAGTTAAAAGGAAAAAGTACATATTGTCATGCTTGAATATTTTTAAATTCAATGTCCACTTTATCAGCAAATATTTGTTGTTCACTTACTTCAGGTATTTTATTAGCTCATCTTGTTCCTTCTGCATGTATTCCTCAGATGTAATCTTTGATTTTCCATTCATATTTACAAACGAAGCCTATTTTGCTTAGTATAGGTTATTATTAAGTGTTCTATGTGATTGTTAATTCTATCTCCAGCAGCCAAAACTGGTTTTCCACTACTGTCCTGGAATACCACTTAATTTAAATTAAATTTGAATGTCTTATTTTAAATGAAGTATTATTATTATTAATAGTTGAATTAAAATCAGCCTGGATTGGTTTGATATACTTCTGCTTTTTACTTTCAGATTCTTCCTGGTCTAGTGATGTGGATGACACAAGTGCACTGAATAGAATTCTCACTTTAATAAGTGGTTAACTCTGAAAGTCACCCATGATAAATCACCTCTCTTCCAGATCCTTTACAAATGCTATGTAACTAACACTTCCCCTCCACTGACAGTTGGTAGAGTGCTCACTGAATAAAATGAAGTGTGCTCAGACACGAGTGGTTAGGGACAGCTATCTCTTCACGGGATACTTTATTGGTAAAGCCATACTAGCCACTTTAATAATATGGCCCAACATTTTAGTGGCTTATCCCAATGGAAGAATGTTTCTCACTCATATAACAATCACAGTAGATTTTCCTAGTCAGTGAGTAGCTATCTTGACCATGGTAGTTCAGGGACCCAAATTCCTGCCAACTTACAGTGCCACAATTTAAATGGGTTCCTCTCTTGCCTCAGTCTAGATGGCAGAACAGAGAACTTCTTAAAGGTCTTGGCCTATAGGTGATACACATCACTTCTGCTTAAATTCTGTACTTGATTACAGGCCACATGGCTACACATGTAGGCCAAAGGGACTAGAATATGTAGTCCTTGAGTGGGCACCCATGTTTCAATTGCCATTCCATATTATGGAATATATATTCCATATTTTTGCTTAACAGCACAATTTTTGCTTAACAGCAAGCACTCAATGTCATTGATTCTTACCCTCTTACACTACACTAAAATAAATTCCAGATGGTTATTTAAATTTTTTATGAAGTAGTTAATTACAATCACAAAGTCTGTATATTATGACACAAAATCTAGAACTCATAAAAGCAAA